TATCCTATTGGGTCACAGAACAAACATACCACGACCCGTTTACTCACTCACTGGGACAGCACGGGATAGCCAGCGAATGCTACACACACTAATCAACAAAACAGGACACAAAACAAACACCGACGCACCTAGGGCGCCTCCTAACATTGGTATTTCGTGATTAAAGAGCCAGACTCAGACTTGGAAGAGATGAATAATTGTAGGTACTTTTCTTGATCAAACACCCGATCTTTCCCTTCCCTGACAATATTCCCTTCGTTTCGATTCCTTTTACCGCCCCTCGACTTTGCTTCCTCCCAACCACAGAATTGAATCAAGTAAGGAATCTTATTCATTTCCTCAATTTGACTCCGATCTGGGTTTCTGATATTTCTTTCAATAATTGGATGGATGTTCATGTCTTCGAATTTTCTACAATAGAAATCTGCTTGTAAGTTTTTCAATCTTGATTTATTGCTTTTTTCTCTTGGTAATTGACGATTGACCCTTGATTTTTTCTGAAAAATTTTATGCACCCATATGAGGTTAATAGTTGTTTTTTTTATTGTATTCCATTTGAATTAAATCTCTGGGTTGTAATTGTGAGTGACGCGGTACAGTTTTTCTGGGAATTTGATCTTGTTGTCACTGTGGGTTCTTTTTCAGAATTTGGGCATCCCTGAATTGATGTTTAATTATGCAAAATGGGATAAACAAGTTCCATAATTATCTTTTGAAGCACAATCTGGTCCTTTTCGTTCTTGTTTCCATAAATGTCTTAACTTTACATTATCCACAACATATATATTAGATTGTGAATTTTGGGACTTCTGATTTCTTGCTTCATTTTTTCTGGTTTGTTAGATTAAGATTTCGGTTTGAATTTTGAACATTTTTTATTTCTAAAATTGGCTTTTTGAGAAATTTAGTTTTAAAAATTACCTGTCTGAGTTTGTGATTGGCACTGTTATTTGCCTGGCATTTGTTTGGGTATAATCAGAATTCAGAACTTTATTTATGGTTGACATCCTCTTTGTAAATTTAATCTGATCCTTAGTCATGGACGCATTTAGAGAATGAAAATGATGGTAAATTAGCCTGAAGTAAATGTTTGCTGGTTTATGGCTTGAACATGTTAAATAGATTCTTTAGTGTTTGCAATAAGCGTGCAGTGCACTTGCTTTTCTAAGGCTTTCTTTTGTAAAGAATACTGAAAGTTGTAAAGAAAAAAAATCGCTTGATGCTAAAATATCATCTTTTATGGGGTCATAGTCTGTAGGTTGAACATTGGATTGATAAGTTTCTTCTTTTTCCTCCTTACTATCAGTAGTCCTGCATAAAACCCTAAAAACTAGGTCCTGTGTGAAATTAAGCCCTTCCTACCCTGTGATCATCTTATATACTGCTTAGCCATGTCTGGGGAAAAGAGGGTTGCTGGAATTTCATGCAAATAAGAAAGAAAAAGAAAGGTGCTCCATCATATATATAGTCACTGAAATTTGACTAATGCTACCATGTAATTGTCTGAAAATAGCTTCTGACCATAATTGTAGCCTAAGGTAAGTGGGTAAGCTGTAACATATTGTGTTTCAGACTTGCTTTTAAAATCAAAGAGGTATTTGTTTCCAGTTTTGTTGCAGAGAAGTGTCAAGGAAAGAAGTCAGATTAGAAGTCAAAAGAATTTTAGGCTGTGTTAGGTTTGTTTCCATAATACCAATCTTAGGATTGCTTGATATAATTTCAGACAAGGAAAGTTGAGATGAAGAAGCAAAGAGAGACAAGTACAGGCTTTCAAGTACTTAGAAACTAATGGAATGTATCAATCAAATTGTTATCTACATTTTCCCTTGAATTGAAAGAAAAATTGGTAAATGTAGTGTGCTTAATATTCATTACTTTAAAAGATAGTTGCAGTCTTTTTTCATTTTCTTGATTGCTTTTGCCCTTGTAGACTTCAAATAGTATGTTTATTCAAGTGGTTGCTTTTTGTTATTTCTGTATTTGATTACTTTTTGAGACAGCATTTTCTCATTTAAATTACTTAAATAGATATATGTGCAAATCTTGAAGATATAATTTATTGGCAGATAAATAAGCTTCTTTTCTGAGGATTGTGGACATTTTTTCACCCTTCTGCTTCCTAATTTTTGTCCCTAATTTACACATGGTCCTTTTTCTGTCATCATTTTAGTATCTACAATACATTTCACAATTCTGCTTACCTTGCTCATCTTTGCTGAGTCTTTTTTGTCTTTTCGACGGGTGTGGTTTCAATTGGTTGTTATGAGAATGTACTAATGTAATGAAAATTTTCTTCTTTACTCCTAGCAACTGCTACATGGCCATCCGGTTTGATGTTGCATAATGGAAGAGGAGATAGTTGAACAGTTAATCCAAATCTATCATTTGTTTGCTGGGGGTTTAACTTCTTGTCCTAAATGGTGAAGTCAAAAATCTCTCATCGTCCAATCATCTCCTATAGGCCCATACAACCTTCTGATTTAGAGATTTTAGAACAAATTCATGAAGATGTATTTCCAATAAGGTGAGAACATCATCCAATGCTCTCTTGTTGGGCTTTTGTAAAACCTGTAGATTGTTACTTAAAGAGTATTTTATCTCTTCAGGTATGAGTCTGAGTTTTTCCAAAATGTTGTGAATGGTCGTGATATTGTATCATGGGCGGCTGTTGATCGCAATCGACCTGATGGTCATAGTGATGAACTTATTGGATTTGTGACTGCACGGATTGTGTTGGCAAAGGAAAGTGAGGTGGGTCAAGGGGATGACATTGCATCTATGCTTGTAGTAGACTTATGTGCCAAGGGCAAAGCATAAATGATTGTGTAATTACTTCCTGCCTGGTTCCTAAATTATTAGTGCTAGGTCAAAAAGAATACTGTCACCTCTCAATCTTTGAATCATAAGAAACTAAGAAATGACTTGGATCCATCACCATATTCTACTATTTTGGCTCAAAACATATTTTCCTTCATTAAATATATAACTGCTTGATTCTTGGTGATATTTTTTTCTGAATTTGTGGTATTCCTAAACATCATCCCTGCAGATAGGGGATCTGCTCAGATATGACTCATCAAAAGTGGATCAAACATTAGTGTATATTCTAACACTAGGAGTAGTAGAAGGTTACAGAAATCTTGGCATAGGTTGTGAGCTTCTTCCTCCTCTTTCTTTTGCTATGTTTCTTGAGTTTATTCTCTCTATGATCTTGAAACTTTCTTGGTTATGCATCTACAGCTAGTGCTCTTATCCGTGAGGTGATCAAATATGCTGCAACTACCCCAGCATGCCGTGCGGTTTATCTGCATGTGATTTCTTACAATAATCCAGCTATCCATCTATACAGAAAAATGTCATTCAAGTGTATAAGGAAGCTGCCTGGTTTTTATCTGATCAATGGTCAGCATTATGATTCATACTTGTTTGTTTACTATGTAAATGGTGGTCGTTCTCCTTGCTCACCTACGTAAGTCTTCATCCTTCATAATGTTTGCTTATATATTTTTCCTTCATCCTTCATAATGTTTGCTTATACATTTTGCCAAATAAATAGCAAATAACATCTGATTATGTTGCCTAAATTTCACTAGTTGCTGGAGGAATAAGAAGTTTAGCTTGAGTTTGTTCCAATATTAACCTTATTTTCTTGTATCTTTTATTCTAGACCTGTTTTATAGAGGAAGTTCCTAATAACATAAGGAGGCAAGAAATGAAACTTTTAGAAATTTCAAGTTGGATAGACACAAAATACTGTCCAGCTTTTGGTATCACTTTGTACTAAAGATTAGAAATCTGTCTATATGCAATCTTTATCTTGTTCGATCCATAAAGCCAAAAGAGAATTGTAATTTGTCCTCTGTGAGCCTTGTTAAGATACTACTAGTTTTGCTTGATATCATTTGCCAAGCTAAAAATTGAATGAAATCTCAAATCCTATAGAATTATGCTAGATTTTGTTCTCTTTTTAATTAAGGATAAGCTAATTGATTTTGTACTTCAGCATGGTTGAAAACTTGAAATTGACAATCTCTCCAGCCAGAGATAATCTTTGGGGTTTCTCTTTTGGTGAAAGATAAACCTTTCTGCAACAATAACTGTGATATTAGAGATTCTGTTTTCCTTTGATTTTCTCCATATTATGTGCACTACTTCAGTTGGTATTTACTACTTTAGTAGTGTTAGAATCGTTGGCATTGTGGCTGTCATTTTTTTTTTCTTTTTTTTTGGAGGTGAAATACTTATTCTGTGTTTTTCCATGCAGAGAGCTTATTGCGGTAATTGTCAGTTACTTGAGTAGAGGACTCAAGTCGATGGCCGCAAAACTGCGGAAGAATGAAAATAAGGTGCTGAAATGGCCCAGGTGTAAAGAAACCCGTTGTCTAATATCGACACAGAACAAGAGAAGCCTTGCAACTGAGTCTGCAGGATGTGAGTGTGTTTAATAGACTTCTTTTGTTTTCGATGGTGAATATTTTCCAGAGGGAGCTGAGTACAGAGGGTACAGGTTGGTCCATACTGCCTACTTAATTGTTCCCTGAAACCCATGAAAGAACATATATACCACTAATTGCTTTGATACTACCATTCAGTGTAGACAGTTAAGCGTATAAACAGCTGTTGTTGTGCATTGCAGTCAATATTGATCAGTATTTTTTGTTGTTCTTTTAGATAAGGTTAAGCGTCTGTGATGTGTTGCTTGTGAAATTAAATGACATGAAATTTATGGCTGTGGTTAAAGGCACACATTAAAAAGTGTATGTAAAAGGCCGCACAAACATTATTATTATTATTTTTCAGTAAACTAGTTATGATATTTAAAAATATCAGTATATAGATTAATTTTAATTTGTTAAACAATAAATATTATCTATTTGTCATCTATTAATTAATAACGAAAGTTATCAATTATATCTAATAATTGAACTAATCAGAGTCAGTGTTTTAAAATACATTTAAAAAGTTATAGAATCTTAACACTTTATCGTGTGGCCACATCTGTATCCTATCTAGGTATACTGGCTGTTTGTCTGCCCTCCACGGCCAATATTGTCACCCTTTAAATCAATCTGACAATGAGATTATAAAGTAGAAATTTACCCTTGATCTCTAAATACTAGTTCACTAATCAATCTAGAACAACAAACTAGGAAGGATGGTTTATAGGGTATCAAACAATTAGCAAAAAAACACTTGTTTACCTGTATGGTTAAGGTCTGAATCTTCATTCTTTTTCCCTACTCTTTTCCCTTATAAAAATTTCAATTAGTTGGCATGTTTGATAAGAAGAAATTTTCTGAAGTTAGCAGCCTACAGAAAGATCCCTGGTGTAGAGACATGAAAACCTATAATTATTCTTCCCAAAAAACGTAACCTGCTAATTTTCACATGTACAAACATGACATTTCAGCAAAATAATTGATTGTTGCAAATTCCTTATGGCCGGGAGCCTTGTTTGCTCCAAAAAGTATGGGGAAAATTATACATGTCCACTTGTTGGTTTAGAAATGGTGACCTGTTATATAATAACATGCCGATGATTTATATTTAATCGGAAGAAATTTTGGGACCAAACTTGGGAAGAAAATTTTCATACATTGGTCGTGTGGGCCCACCACATGGCCACAAAAAATTCATCCCAAATTTTCAAGCACAATTATGGTCACACGTTAAAATGTTAAAATCACAAAATTTTTAAAATTTTTTTTGAACATTTTGTCATTGAACCGGGTTGAACCGTTACCCTGTGGGAGGGGGAGATGAACCTTACAAGCGTGGCTAGAGCCACTTGACCCGAAGGGTCAGGTTCATAATTTTTTAAATTTATTGGTTAAAATATTAACTTTATTTTATTTAATTGTTAAAATAATTGATAACTATAACTATTAGTTGATAAATGATAAAATAATTAATATTTATTATTTAATACATTAAAATCAATTTATACACTAATATTTTTAAATACGATAATTGATTGTTTTTAGAAAAATATAAGAATATATATGGTGTGGCCTTAACAATTTAGTGAGTAGTCATAATCACACCCCAATTTTTTTTCCTTCGTATCATTTTTATAATAATACAACATATACCAATGTTAACGGAGGAAATTACTTTATATATATATATATATATATATACACATACAACAATAACAATATCACTACTAGAGTACTCTATCTCATAACAAACTTATACATGTAACTCAAATTCCACTAGTTTTTAGACATCCAATTTCCAGGCAAATAAAGCAGAATTGCATCTCATAGTCCAAATTGAATACACAAATAAAGCATGCCACCCTGTGAAAGTCACTTTTTCAAATTGAGAAGGGCTACCCGTGGAGATTTGTACCATAGCTCTTGGTAAACATTAGGCCAAACATTAGCTTTAAATCAGTAGAACGTTCTGAATTTAATCAGGTTTAATACTTGACTTTGTGGATCCTCCTCCCCTTGGAATATCTTTCTGTCCCGCCAAAGCCAAATGAACCATACCACTTTCCATGTGGTGTATGTGCATTCTTTTTATTTTATTTTATTTTTATTTTAACTTGAAGAGTCATAAGTTCACCTATCCTAAATGAAGGATGTATGTGCATTTTCCCAACAGTGTAAGGGTTTTAATTACCTATAGTGAAGAAGTTTGAAAGGCTTTTATTTGGATTATTCATATCCTTGATTTGTTAACATCTTTCCCCGCTTTGTTCTCGTGTGGTGTCTAATTTCTTCATTCAAATTACAATTTTAAGTCTCAAAAAAGGTTTTCCACCTCGTGAAATCTATAATCACTCTCAAACCAAATGTTTTGATCTCTAAATTTAACAATCTTCTGCTAATTTTGGGATAGTCCATGAATTTGAAGTACATATATCCCATGATAGTCTTAATCCTCTTCGGGGCGTAAAAAAAAGTAGTATTTTTTTCAAAAACTTCAAACTTTAATAATGGTGTCTTCTCTCTTCATTCGCCCTCTTGCTCTTGTTCTCTCCCTTGTCCTACTCCTCCCTTCCTCCCTCGTTGATGGCTCTGCAGAATCGAACCCAAACCCAATCTTGACCTACCATGCCGGTCCTCTCCTCACAGGAAACATAAACTTGGCCATCATATGGTACGGCAATGTGGGTCGCAGCCAGAAGGTTGCCATTAGAAACTTCATTAAATCCTTGAATCTCAACAGCATAGATGCAGATGTCCAGCCACAAGTGTCTACGTGGTGGAAAGTAGTTGAGAGCTACCAGGGGGCAGTGCCAGGGAGCGGCGGAAGTAGCCCACCAATTAGAGTGAGGGCTTACAAACAAATGAGCGATGCTTCTTATCAGTATGGCAAAATCTTGACCGTTGATTATCTTCCCCAACTCGTTGAGCAGGTGACTAAAGGAGATCCCAATCTTCTTCCTGTAATCCTCACTGCGAGGGACATAACCGTGCAAGGGCTTTGCATGGGAAAATGTGGACTGCATGCACTTATTGATGGTGCGTTAATTTCATTTCTTTCATAGGTGAATAAATTTTTTTGCCTTTATTTTACAATTTAAACTCCAAAATAAAATCATTAGATAAGGAAAGAATCCCAATATCAAAAGCTACCTCTACCCATTGGTTTATATTGTGAGTTTGGCATAATTCAAATGTACACTAATTTTTTTTATATACAAAATATTTAGTCCTTAACCTTTTTGCTTACTTCAAAGCTGTCTTAGACCTTTAAAATTACGCATTTCGGTCCTCAAATCCAAATATAATCCACGATTATCTTTGAATTTTTTATTTGTTTTCTTAAATTGTAGGAAAGAAACCCTGCATCGTAGTTGGGAACCCAGAAACTGAGTGCCCTGGAGCATGTGCATGGCCCTTCCACAAGTCCGACATGGGGCCGCAAGGTGTGGTGTTGCAGCCTCCAAATGGAAACATAGGTGCAGACGCCATGGTGGTCGCCTTCGCATCGGCTTTGGCTGAGGTCGTCACCAACCCATTCAACTCTGGCTTCTACCAAGGACGCGAAACAGATCCAGTTGGCGCTGCAATGGCTTGCCGTGGAATCTTCGGAAGCGGAGCATTCCCTGGAAATGCTGGCAAGGTCAGGATTGACCCGAAGACTGGCGGTGCCTTCAATGCACACGGTAACAAGAACAAAAAGTTCTTGCTTCCGGCTATTTGGGATCCCAGAACATCAACTTGCTGGACCCTCATGTAGGCTGCTATGTGCACCTAACAGGGAGAGAGCCCAAAAACAAAAGATATACAGTATAGCATCGAGAAACTTTCCAGATTCAAGTTTCATCATGTGCTTCTTGTTTTATTAATTCTTTGAATTTTTTGTTTATATTCGATTTTTCCTTTGATTAATCATGCAAAATTGTTAACTCAATTATTGGGAATGAATTGAGATTTTCCTTGTTCCCAATTAAGGCTTTTTCTCCGTCTCTCTCTCTTCTCATTTAGCTTAAGGGTCCATTAATTGGTTTGCAGAAATTGACTTAGAAAATTATTTTCTACATTTTTTTTCGCATTTGATAGTTAATTGGAAAACTGGTCAACCGAAGACAAGGCTAATCAGTGGAAAATACTATTTGCCTCTTTTGGGAATCAACTTCCAGATATATTTTATGGGAGTTTTGTTTTACTGCCTTCCACCAAATAAAAGAAAAAAAAGTGAAGTTGTGTTTTGCTGTCCCAAAAGTGTCTCCGGTTATTGTTTTATATAAAAGGTTAAGGTTACACGAAAATATTTTTTTCTTTTAAACACGTTGTTATGGTATTTAAAAACTTTTTATTGATTGATTTTAATTAATTAATTAATTATTAATTTTTTTAGTTATTAATTAATAATTATATACAATCATTAGTAATTTTTAATAATAAAATAAAATAAAATTAATGTTTTAAAACATATATTCCAAAACTCTTTGTTGGCCCAACACTTTTTTGCAGCGAATAACCACACACTTCAAAAACATGATGAACTTAGGCGGGTTCCGGATCTTGTGCAGGTTGAATTTTAGGCTTTCACGTGGGTTTTAGGCGGCCGATGCCTTTCCTTCTTCGTCTCTTAACCAAAAAACCATGGAAGGAAAAATGTTTAAGCGTCTCTTTAGTGTAATTTGTTGGAGTTTTTATTTTTTTACTGTTTATGAGTGATAAATTTAAATGCTTATAAGTGATAAGTTTAAATTTTTATTGAAAAAAAAATTTAAAAGTTACTTTTAAAAATAAAAAAAAATAAGTAAAAAATAAATTTATGAAAAATTTCAATCTAAAACTTTTTGATATTTTATTGTTAAAAATCTTTTTAAAATTAAAAAAATTTAAAAATATAAACTTTTTAAAAAAAATTTACACTTGTAAAATATAAAAAATATCAAAAAAATTGAAACATTTGAGAAACTGCACCGATCGCATCATAAGGCAGGTTTTAATGGGATTCTGGACCGAGCCATGTAACCCAGTCCACTAGGTTGGTTAAGCCCACAAACAAGATCCAATTCCTTTTGATGTACTTTAAAGATCAAAGACTCCTTTCCAAAACATTTTTCTTTCTTTCTTTCTTTCCTTTTTTTTTTGTTTTGTTTTGTTTTTGGTGTTCTTCATATTCAACAAAACCCAGAAAAAGACCAGCAAGCAAGACATAAAAACAAACCCAGAAGTCAATTGAATTACATAAAATTCGAAGGCACCTACAGAGCGGAACTTTAAAAAAATCAAAATTAAGGAAACTAAATGTTGAGTTGGTCCTTGAATTTGATAAATTGATAGTTTTTTTTTCAACAAAAACCAGAAAATAAAGATTCAACAGCACAGATATATATATTAACCTAAAGAATTCAAACAACAGAGTGAAAAATCAGGCAGATATGTTAAGGTTAAATGCTAATTTAGGCTCTGAACCATTTTCAGCATTTTTTTTTATTCAACTTTAAAAATTACACTTTTTTTTTCTTTTCGTCAATTAAGTTCCATTTGTCCGTTGAATTTATCCACATTGCATTTTCCAAATATTTTTTTATGAAGTGGTAATGACACATCAATACAAATTAGTAAACGTGGAAATAAAAGGTTACAGACGCAACCTCATTATATTCTTATTGTATTCATTTGCTAAAATGCCAATATGCATGGTTTAGACTTTAGATTAAATCAAATATAAGCATAGTAGATACACCTGAGCCAAAGTGCATAAACAAGGCACATATATATCTGTCAAACGAACCACATTTTCAAATAAAACCAAATCCAATATCCCAAATTGAGGATCAACAATCTTAAAGGAAAACAGAGAAACCTTCAAGCTTTGTTTTGGGTGAGATAGTTCTTTGCGTTTTCTGCCAAGTTTGCCAATGCCTGAATGCTAACAAAGGAAGCATTGGCAGCAGCCTCCTCCTTGAGTTCGTACTCAATTGTGCTCTTGACGATGCATGACTCCTCTGCTTTCTCCACGATCTCAAAACGAACTCTGTAAAGAGTGAATCCCAATTCGAGATATCCTCCTTCCACCACCTCTGCCTCTTTCACTCGATTCTCGTGATCTATCTTGGTAAACTTCTCGTTGTATGAACTGAATCCAAGCACTCCTAGTTCAGGCAAGTTAAAAAATTCAATATTGAGATTAACTGAAATTTTATTTTCACTTTTTTTTTAAAAAAAAAGGAAAACACTTCTAATCCTGGAAAAAATCAAGAGTAAATTGAAGAATCCTAATTCTATATCCCCATAATCTATAAAACTAGAATGTTCACATGGAATCGTTCTTAAAAAGAAAAAAAAAATGATGATCACAATTTTGGTCAATTAAATTATCCCTCAACTGCCTCAAGTTATTCAATTCTGTCACTTTATCGTTGTAATTTTGGTTAATTTTGTCCCTCATTTAGAGATAGAATGGATGAAAATTAAAAACTAGAGGATAAAATTGACCAAAAGATTTGTATACAGATAAAACTGACCAAATTTAAATGAAGACGTAAATTATATGGATATAATAAATTAATCACAATTTTTTTTTCCTAATCCCTGAATCGCAGCTTAATAATTTTTTTAAAATCAGAAATACCTGGTTTAAAAGTAAGTTTGAGGACAGTGCCTTGGCCTCCATCGCCTTCTACGATCTCAGTCTTGTCAAGGACTTCTTTGAGTTCCCTTTCTGCAAGCTTTGCTAGTTCCAGAGTGCTGTAAAGCTCCCAAGCTTTGCTAGCCGCAGCGTTGATTTCCAGTTCATGGGAAAGTTGCCCTGAAACCATCTGTTTTACTTTCCTTTTTCTCCTCCTCTGCTGCTGCAGCCTCTAAATTATTTTTGTGGTTGAGCTTGCTTAACCATTATCTCTCTAAGTAGGGCCAGAATGCATGCCAGGACAAGGACGACAGGGGAGTATTTTGGATTTATATGCTTCATTGTGAAAGATTCTTTTTGGTTGGGCACTAGTAGTATACCTTCTTTCAATGAATGGGTAAATAAAGAAAGGGAAATTTGCAAAATTTATTTAAAAAAGGCAGCATTCACCTAAATCTCGCGGTGTACTTGTGGGGGGTTACTAGTTGAGTTGGCTTTTTCTTTAGTATAAAAAAGTTCTTATATCTTTAAGATAAATAATAAGAGTTTAATTAAATGCATTTCTCCGTCTAGCTGCAGTGTCGGTTATATTTCTTTAAAATGAGAAGTAAGTAGAACGTATTTCGATTTGCATGTAGAGTTTTATATTCGATTTTCCTCAAATAAATACTAACTTAACACTATATTTTTTTTATAAAAAAAATAATAAGAGTTTAAATTTATGCTTCATATCTTTATTTTTCTTTTATCACAGACTTGAGTCATTTGTTTTAATACGTTAAAAAAAATGAATTTGCAGGTTCCGTCATTAATTTTATGCATATTTTATATTTTGCTAAACTAATCATGAGATTAAACTGTTTTAGTAATGTAATTATGCATGTAAAACATATCAGCATCTCTGTTTCTTTCAAAATCCCAAAATTGCCGTTGTTCAACATGTTTAAGTGTGGGTGTGTCAGTTACTTTGCTACAATGTACCCTCTCCTTCTATGCAATCAATTTTCATAAGGATGATTAGAAGAATATTGGTTGTGAAAAAATAAGTGCGCTCTTAGAAGATTAGCAAGAGTAAAAGATGTTTTTTTGCATAATGAGTTACAAATTTATTTTGAATAAATTTAAAAACTTTAATTTTAATGAGTTATTAAAAATTAAAATACTCACAATATATGTAAATGATTGTAGCTTACCAACATGAAATAAATTTGCATGTGAGAGAATTAAACTAAAAGCATTAATAGATTAGACTAAGGAATTACTACTATTAGTAAATCAAACTAAGTTGTTATAAAATTAAAATTAAATGAATGTCTAAACCTAAATAAAATCAAGTAATCGTGATGCTTAATTAACTAAAACTAAATTTAAGGAAGAGAAGCGTAAAGAAAGCCATATAAATAAGCATTGAAATGATACTTATCATAAATTACCAATTAAAAAACATACAAATATGCAATATCTCAATTGAATAATTAAAAACATACAAATATGCAATATCTCAATTGACTTGAAATGATTGCAATGTGCCACACAAATAAAAAGATGCTTGACTAATTACAAAGGCCTGATTGACTAATTGATAAACTAGAAGAAAATAGTGTTTAAACAGATGCAATGATTGCTAAGACTAAAAATAAGATGTCTTGTGATCGTGTGTAGCACATGTACGTTGTGTCTATTCATGGTTATAGTAGAAGGGTGTCAAAGATAAGCTTGTAGTTCCCACTTCTTCATATACAAACATGGTCATAACTGTATGATCTGAATGGGAAGTCAGCAACATACCTGGTTACAAATTGTTCCAGAACTTGCCACCTGTCTTCCTTCCGGTCTTCACAACACTCACTCACTAAAGTTGCCTAACAACTACCTCCTAAATGTTGCTATTACCTCTTATCATTCAAATTAAATTAAATAATTAGGAGACAATTATTTAACTCTAAATCAAGCCCTTGACACGTGACAGTAGTAGCATGCAATGGCTGAACTAGGATTTTATGTAGGGTAGGGCCTTACGATAATTGGACGAAAATTGTCAATTTTCCAGTAGTAATCTCACTTAGCTAACTTGGAAAAATATACATTTAAAATTAACAATAAAAAATAAACAAAAATAATTAGTAAATAATGATAATTATTAGTAAGTTTTTTCACTCATCTACTGGTTTTCATCTTAATTGTCTAGAATTGTCATGCCTATGGTCTTTTTATCATTGTTAGTGATTTTTTAAAGAATCGACGATGAGGAAACTTAAGAGTTCTTTAACAATTCAATGTTAGACAGTGAAATATTTTGAAAAATCTTAAAGAGATTTATGAACTCAGTTTTAAGGTACAATCTTTTGAATTATGAATTTATTATTTGTAATTATTTTTATTTATGCTTAAGAATTTGACTAAAGAGCATTATTTCTCAATCAATATATAAAATATAATTTTCTTAAGTCCTAAGTTACGTCCATTTTATTAAGATTAGTTGCACCAATTTGGATTTCTTTGCATTTGTCAACAAATTCTCCAAAGACTGCCATTAATGGTATGGTGAGAGGAGGAAAATGAGAATGGACACAAGGGAAACAGAGAGAAAAAGTGTATTTTAAAATTTTCATTTTTTAATATTTTAAAATTATTAATTACACTAGATAAAGCATTAATGAAGTTCTCTTATGAAAATAATTTTCACATCATCGAATATTGAAATCTGCTAATAGGTAAAAAAAAGTTAGAATTGAAATACTTACTTAAGAGCAACTAAAGTTTGTACCTTTAATTATTCAATTGATGAAACTTGATGTTTTACTTAGCTATTTATGCTACTTATCACGGTAGGGCCTTCTCTATTTTAGGCTTCTTTTTTCTTATTATTTTTAGGGAGAAGGTAAGGATCTGTGCCCAATCCTTTTCCTTAGTAGTTCTACCATTGGTAGCATAGTCTATCATATACCAAACCACAACATAAATGGGTACAAATAGGTTGGACATGGCTTTATTTTAGTCACTAAATTAGATAGTGGGATACGTGATATTATTATACAAAAGTGATAAATATCTAGTAAATAATTTTATATTTGCCACCCTCTCTTCTTCTTCTTCTTTTTCCCTAACCTATATATCACCTCTCTCCTCCTCAGCAACTAAGGAGGATGAAAAGGTGGGATTTCCTCCTCTTGTTGAGGGTTTCTCAAAGAGGTTCTTTCTTCTTCTTTGGGGGTCTCTATTATGGCTCTTTCATTTTTAATTAGGTTTTGTCATGATAAAAGAGAAAGGCAACACAAGGGTGAGGTTGCTTGTGCTCGAACTAATTGTAGCACTTGTTTAGGCTATGGGTAACATAATTAGGGAGTGAAGTTTTTGGCTAATCTTTTTACCTTAAAAGTTGGAGTATTCAAATGGGTTTTCTTCATGATGGTCGCAATGAATGATTGGATAGTATTCTTAGACCTGTTTGCTCCCCATAACGACTGTTTAGGTAGTTTTTAATGATTGATGGTTTTTTATACTTAATTTTCCATATATATATATATGTACTAATGCTGTGGGTTTAGGTTTGTTATTGATATTATTTTGTAATCTCTTCACTTATCCAATGAAATCAATTGTTTCAAGATTAAGGAAAAAAACATATTTGCATCTCTAATCAGTTTTTCTTTCGGTACAGAACAAAAAAGTATTTTATATTTGATTTTTGTAACCATTTTGAAATGATATATCGGCCCCAGATGATGCACACTTGAATTAGTCTTTTCTAATATATATATTTTTTTAACAGAGTCTTTTCTAATATTTACAAATTCTTTGATGTGAAAGTTAAATTGGTCCTTCATCTTTAGTACAAGCTGTGATTTGGTCCCCTAACTAAAAAAAAGTCCATTTTTTGTCCATTACAAATCTCTCTCTCCCCCCCCACCTCCCTTTCTTTTTTTTTGGGTCAGTCCAATTAAGTGGGTCCTTAAGCAGTTGCCGTTGTACTTGATTAGGCTTTAATTTAACCTCATCAATTCTACCTTCAATTCTCTCATAGCTGTCCCTGATCCTGTGCAGCGCTGTTTCATGTCTCTACTCTTCAAACTCCTTTAACAATTCTGTTTAAGTATAAAGCACAACCCCTGATCAGATTTACTTCAGCAACAATTTCCAAAAATTTTGAAATTTTAATCCACGTATTACAAAATCAAAACTACCTCTTTGCATTCTGAACTTTCCTTTTCCCAGAAGCCAAACAGTCATGAGAAAAAGCACCTTTCATTGTGCAAGCTTTTATGTTTCGATAGGCAAGGTTTCAATTTCAGTTGTTTCTTTTCATCATGTGAAACCGGCTAGCATTTATACCTTTGAACTTTGAAGTTTGCGCGTGTGATGATCATCACCCCCAATCAATGGCATTTTAAGCATATTTAAACCATTGACATTTGTAATGGTTACTCCAATACTTGAAAGTGTTAAGTCACGTACATTTTTATATATTATTTTTTAAAATATTAATTTAATTTAATTATTAAAAATAATTAATAATTATAATTATAATTTAATTATAATTAATATTTATTTA